GGGGGGGGGTATGCATGCTATAATAGAAGTTTCAGGTGGATGCAATCCAGTCTTGTGGAGGAAAGATGACAGCTGATTGAAGACGTTTTCGAACGGGTGGTGGCATATTATTGAATACCATGAAAACAAGAGAACCGGTGGCCTATATAGATATGATGAAAAGAGCAAAGGAATTTGAGTGGTGAGTGTGTGAATGCATCTGATTAATGAACTATATATTGTTTTGTTCCAGCAAGTAAGCAAAATTTGGGATCATGCCTTAGTGCGAACACAACCATGTATAAATTACATCCTTTGTCACTGTATCTGAGCCACTTCAATGCATGTTACTGATCTATGTATCACATTGTGCCTCTGCTTGCGTTACATTCCATCCTCCTTTTGAATGCTAACAATTTGTTTATCTGATCCTCTCTTGCAGAAGCAATTTAGGAAACAAAATGTTTGGCCAGAACCGGAGCAAAACAATGAGGCTTCCTCTCAAAGGTCTGCCTTTGCTTTCATTGATGAGGCGCCAGCCAGTTTACCTGATGGTTCTCAAAATGAGCTTGCATCTCAATATCAGCACGAACAGTCTAGTGCTAAAGAGAAACGCAAATCTGTGCATTAGTGGATCAGGATACCTGTTTCATACGACGACTTGCTTGGAGATGATCTGAAAAAATGAAGCATGATTTCTGAAAGCAGGGACCAACCTTGGCAGCAATTTTGCGCTCGGCTGTGTGGGGATACAAAATACGCTTTAAGACTTTGACAGGATCCTTTTCTAGTTTTTGAAAAGAGAGTTTGCATAGGCTGTCCGTTTTTAAATTGCAACTGTGTACTTCTTGAACATAGAATGTCCTCTCTTCTTCCTCAATTTAAAAAAGAACTATTTAATCTTATTGTTATGGATGCATTTCCTTTAGCCTTTCATTCTTTAAACAGTAAAGGTACCAGCTTATGTCTGAAATCTAAATGAGCATGCCTCGGATGAAAAAACATATTATATACGGGTCTTGAACCCATTATGAGACCATACGGACGGAGAAATTCTAGTTCACATAATAAAGCGTTGGGATGAGATTGGTCGGCATGTGATTTTCGAGTTTTTTGGGGATTACTTCAACTTAAATCGTTGGATGCTTTAATACTCGGTTCTCAAAGTGTTCACTGTTATCATGTTGATTATTGTAAAATCTCTCTGCATTTTCAACGATTCCTGTGCCCACTACATACCATATACTCGGTTCTCAAGGTTTCTCAATGAGAAATCTGAAAATAGCTGACAGTATTACAACATTATGAACATAAGCTGCACTAAAAAGGAAAGGGGGCAGTGCTCAACTATTACAAGACACTGGCTAAAAGATGAAGTCAGAGTGCTGTTTTCTCTTTCGTAGGAAGAGGCAAACCACCGTGCAGTCATCCACTTTCGAAGAAGTAAACTTCCTTTTCCATGCTGCTGTAGCAGCCTCCACCACTGACTTTGCTGCAACCAGTTCACTATCTGCTGTCGAAATTATGGATACCACTTCCTTGTTGCTAAGCACATCCCACACCTAAGAATCAGGAGGCAAGACGCAAATCAGTACTTATTACTTCAACATTGGAAAAAAATAGAAAAAAGATTCCAGCAACATCTTTGTGTTGAGTCAGTTGCTTACCCCGTCTGATGCAAGGACAACGAACTGGTCCTTGGAAGTTACTCTGTGATAAGAGATGTCTGGTAATGAAATTATGCCATGATTTTTCAGTAGAAAGTCTCCAAAAGCTCGAGACATGGCTAAGCCTGGAGAATCTTCATGAGGTAGCCAGACTCGATGGATGTGTGGCTCTTCCTTTAGTGCAAGTAGTCTGCCATTACATTTCCTTATTCTTTCTGCTTCGCCTGGATTATAAGAGGATCCAATTTAAAAAATGAGTGAGAGGATAAGTTTGCATAGGATCATGAAAAATTGTTGTAATTCTGCCTTTTACTTGAGAAGAAAGGATGCCTTACTTGGCACTCGAGGCTTCAAATCTGTAGTTAATTGAACAGGCATGATTCCATTCTGATCATTGATTCTGCCCAACACTGCTCTTGAGTCTCCAAGATTTGCTATAATAAGACCATCACCCTGTTTTCATTTTTCCAAATAAAAAACATAAAAATGAGAAAATAAATAAATAAACACCATTCCTTTACACGTGACCAAAATAGAGATTTGTTTGCTCAAACCAAAACCAGCATGCTTTCTCACCTGCCTTAAAACAACCACTCCAGTGGAGCCACTGCAAGAGCAGTCTAGACTTCTTTGAAGCTTGATCTCCTTGTCCATCTCCTTGAAGGCACTAATACAAGCCTCTTTCCATTTATGGAAACCCTCACATGGTGCTAAACCATCATCTGCTTTCTCATTGTTGTGATCTCTAACAGTCTTCATCTTTGCTGAAGCATTCTTTTGATTTAGCAAGAGCGATGGCAACGTATTTCTCACGATCTTGCTCACTATGTGACCATTCTTTCCATGCCCATCAAAAACTCCACAGAAAGCTCCATGTTCCATTCCATAGCCCTTTAAATAGAAAAGGTTTCAATCAGCAACAAAAGTTTTAACAACAAAAGGTGAAATCTAGTGAAGGGTACGTAGCATCAACCAACCTGGTGAAGAATAGCAGCGTCTTGATTTACTCCTTTACTACCTTCTTTAGAGTAAAGAGAACCAAGCTTCTCAATTCCGTGAGAAACAATATTTATTTGGACATGCATGACATTTTCAAGGCCATCATCTACCTGGTGTATCTCTGAAGATGCAGAGGATATGCAGATTCCCATTTTTCAACTTGTACAGATTTTCTAATTTCTCTACCAACTTATTGCAAGTCCAATGACCTATGAATATAATGAAATAGTTTCCTTAATCATGAAATTAAGGACCCCAAGAATAGGCATGTTGGCTGAAAAATAATAATTATTATTTATAAAGCTTAGAGTGGCTCCCAGAGAGCTGAAAGCACAAGCTGCTTCAATAATTCACTGTTTTTTTTAATTGTTGGGTGTTATTTTAGACTACCCCAAGATTCACTTAAAGGGGCATGTGAGGTGTATCTTGTGAGATTAGTATCTTAACACCCACTATTCCCTGTATGAAACTATTCTTTAATGTGTAACCAAATGGTGATTCTCAAAAAAAAAAAAGATGAAATAATGATATTAATCAAATCTTAAAATTTTAAAAATTACAAGTAAAATATTTTAATTAAATTGCAAGATACAGTGAAATAGTAAATAATAATATAACATAATTAAAATAAAAGTAAAATAAACAATATAAATATTCAAACGCCTTAAAATACATAATTCAAATAAAAATTCATACATGCCCATTAAATTTTATTATAGGTATGTAACTACAAAATAAAAATAAAAATATTATCATCAACATTAAATTAAATAATATAAAAATGAAATAAACATTATATATCAACTGATAATAGTAAATAAATAATTAATAAAATATATAATCGAAGATTAAAGAGGACACGATAATAAGCAATTTTAAAGAGAAACAAGCTGGGAGCAACTTGTGCTCTTTCTTCCGGTGCATCAAGGATTTTTGAGGTATAATTTGAGAATAACGGTTTAGTATATGATTACTGACACGACCAAAAGATTAATATCTTTTTCTAAGTGCAGGAGTGTCGAAGTAATAAAGAACCTGACAAAACCGGGATCGAACCACAAGGAGTTTAATTGTATAAATTATAGATAATAATAATACAATAATAACAATAACAACAATAGTAACAATAAGAACAACAACAACAACAATAACAATAATAATAGTAGTAGTTGTTGTAGTAGTAGTAGTAGTAATAGAAGAAGAAGAAGAAGTTGATAAGAACTTTGAGATGAAAGATTAATATAAGGATTAAATAATGATAACAACAAATATCATGGTTAGAGGATCCACTAATGGTATGTCAAATAAGTATAATATAAACTCTTATTATTTAATTGAAAACCACACACAAAAGAAGTTCCAATCAGATTATAAATTGTTAACATGAATACATTTGTTATTTTATTCGATTAATGCTAATACTTGTAAATATTATCAGGCATTCATGATTATAACTTATGTTAACAACAAATCAAGTTCCTTTCATAGTTGAGTTGTCGGTTATACCATTCAGTATAGGCTATGAAAGTGCCAAGTATTTGTTGTCCCAAGCATTATACAACATAAATTTAGATTAACCATTTAACAAGCAAAGTATTAAAAGTGAACAAGATTCCAGATATGGGCCAAACACTGAACAGTTTTTGGGCTATAGGACAGATTCAGATTTATTTATTGTTGCTACAATTTGGACTTGAAAATGATATTTTTAAAACCAGAACTCCACATAAAAGTTGTAGGCCTATGTTTTACCTTTCTATCCATATAATATAGACCTAAATTCGAGATTTACAGCTCCAAATATGACCCAATTATTCTGATTTGGACTGCACCAACATCTCTTTTCTAAGTTTGGCCATCTCTTTGTCCTTTCAATTTTAGTACTTAAACTCATCAATCAATCCTTATATTTATGTGATAGACCTGCATTTAAAATGAATATTTACCACAAATTAAAGGTATCTTATATTATTAGATATGTTATTATAAAACATGCTTTAATTAAGGAATTATTGATACTTCAAGTGTAAAATAATAATAGAAAACCTTGATAAAAATGCACTTTTAAATACTAATCACACCCCCCCAACCAGCTTATTACTAGTCCCTAGTAATTAAAGCATTAAAATAGAAAAATAATTTGCAAATTCCACAAAGCAAGGTATTCATCATTGAACTTCTATTAATCTATCCAGATAAACAAACTCTCATTAAATTTATATATTTGCTTAATACCTCATAAATAAAAA